TTATTATTAACGTAACCTTCAGGTATGTTCTACCCACGAGGTTACAGAGAGCCTGCAAATGCAGTGACAGTTATTAGATTTTAGTGCAACTATCAGGTTGAGTTCCTCCATTAAAAGAGTTTTTTGCTAGGGTTAAACAAGTTTGGCTTTCATGAGTTTCAAGGTGCAAGAAATTATCAGTATAATTATAGCACACAAACATTGTCATCTAATTTTTCGCACGTAGCCGGAATAAGCCAAGAAATGAAGCATATATAACGAAAAATCGTTCTCAGATGATCTCCATATTAAATAAATTATACTAAACGTTGCGAAAGAAATTATTGTTCGTATCCGTCTTATCCATCGTAAAAGCGAGGGGTCATCGCATGACATCCGGTATATTAAACAGAGGTAATACTCACGGATTTCACGAGTTGTATGCACTATTTTTCGCCGAGAAACAAATTTAAACTTCAATTCTTACCTTACAGTAGTCCGTTCTTTTACCTTGCATTCGACAACAAATCTGTTAAAGGCGAACAAAGCGATTCCGGCACTCTTCTTTATGATGAGTAGCAAGCCGCAGGAACTGAAGCCGCTTGACTGAAGTAAAATCCACCGATATGCACGGCATTCTCACTACAAATATAAACAAACGTTTCGGGGAAAAAAAGACGAGGAGGAAAAAATGCCAGATCTTCGCCTTGGTAATGTATTCCAGCTACCATGCCGGCGTATCTCCAGAAGGTGGACTCGAAGTGGGACAAACCTTGTGATTTTTTTTAGACGCCGTTTGCGCGCAAACTAATTTATTCTGGCGCGAAATGAAGATTAACAATAGGTATACTGAAATCTAATCCACGACAAGAAGATTTTCGCACTGTAGCGCGACATATTAAATGCCTATTTTTACAAGTACGCGGAGAAAGTGGTCCACTAGTTTAACTTTTTTAAGATGAATTTACTCCAAAAGGCAAAATGAATGTTTTATCTCTATGTTGTTTACGTGCCGGATTAGAAGGCAGAAGTAAATTCATCATACAGACCCCATCAAAATGAAAGTACACGAATGAAACGGAATAAGTCTGGAACGGTTTAGTTTCTACTCGGCAGCTTCTTTGCTTTTATAACAAAAATTTAATGTTGCAGTCTGTTTTAAACGTTGGCATATCAACGCGCACAGTCACTGAATGAAAACAACAGTCACGATCACGTTCTTCGAAACCGACCAGACTCGCGCGACCTACCACTGTTATGGCAAGCAATTATCCTGAAGGTGTTAATGTTCCCGTGACAGTCTTCGCACTGAAGGTGTAAATGGTAAACCGAACGGTCGCTTTGATCATCAGAAAGACCTGTCAACTTTGATGATTTAACTGATTAAATTACGGGACAGAAATTTTACTCCTTGCGGCTCCTCGTGTTTAACGGCTGCCTTCGCTTAACATTGATAAGTACTTCATGTTAAGCCATCATAAGGTCAAAGGTTCTCCGTTTTCACGACATAAATCCCGGCGAAGAAACAAAGGAAGATGAGGCGGACGGAGCAGCCCCACTGCAACTTCCCAGAAATACCCCCTGAGAAAAAAATGAAACTCATTTTATAAACTGGTCTCGACACAGGCAGCCCCATTAATAAGCATTCAGATTCAGACTATTGTTGTGAAGTATTTTCTATATTGTTATGAAGATTGATGTCATTTGTGCCGACAGGTTTTTGAAAGTTAAAACCCTTTTAATGAGTTTGTTAACATAATTGTTATCTATGTCCTGAATGTTCTGTCACGCGTTATTTAGCTTATTTCATGTTTGTACTTGTAAGTTTAAGTCGTTTGGATTTTGAATACTAACCTTTTAATGGGTTTGTCAACATGAGTGTCATTTTATCTTGTGGTTTAAATAATATAAATTGGATGCTAGGCCTTGAAGTAGCCATGGGGGTCGGGATTATAGCAGACCTTTGCAATTATTGTTACCGACATCAAGGTTCCTGTTTTGGTCCAACCTGAAGTGTGCATGGTTTTCATAATTATGCTCTCATTGGTTTTCTTGTACGTGACATGATTAACCTTACGAGTTCAGTCTTGTTTAGCTTACTAAGCCTCTTTGGTGATCAACAGGATGTGAAAGTCACTATAAAGGCGTTTGAAACCGGCTCTCGTGGTAAGCAAGCCCAAACTTGTTTTTCACTTTGCTCGGTTTCCTTTGTCCTTTTTTCCTGGAACTGAGATTAAAAACTCAAAATTATTAACAGTAAGATACAAAAGGCAACTGCTTTTAAAGCATTGTGTTTCACTTCTGATTAAACTAAGATGGCCCAAGGACAAACGTCGCTAGGTTTGTTTTGATATTTAACAGACTTTCCTTTGTTTTTTTTGAGCTAGTTGCGTTTTTCCTTATTTTTCATTGCTTGGGATTATAGCTGACCTTGATTGCTATCTACATCAGAGTTCCTGTTTTGGTTTATGTTCCAGCTCTGAACTTTGGTTGTCACGTTTTTATTGGTTTTCTTGTTCTTGACATGACCTTATAAGTTTTTCTTCACCCACTTTGGTAATCAACAGGATGTGCATAAAAATCACAAAGAAATGCGTTTGTGACTGTCGTGTTCAGCAAGCCCGAACGCATCTACATTTTAGTTATTAAAATTGCCAATTTTTGGCTCAGTTTTTTCAGTATTAACGATTACGTTGAGCTGTTAAGGTAAACTTAGTCTGAACTGCTAAACTTTTCACAAAGTTAATATCTAAGAGTTGCAAGATCATGAAGTTCTTGGTTATCATTGTCGCTTCGGTTTGTGCCAACCTGAATTTTTACCAAGCAGTAACCGTTTCAGGAAATCATGATCAAGTAGGACGATCTACCATTTCCTAACTTTTCAATTCTTAACTCAACTCAATTCTCTTACTTTATTATTATTGTTTTTTCTTTCATTTTATCTATTATATAGTTTGTTTGCTAGCATTTGTTTGTCCTTTTAATTCCCAAAGCAGTTGGAAAACGACCATACGCTCAAACAGTCATAAAATTTTATTTTGTACTTAGTATTTGTGTTGAAAAGCTTACTTCGTTAAACTTGTTACGTAAGGGACTCGCTTTACTCCAAATACCGATAGCTGTAGTATATAAAATGGTGTTACTGGGCAAATGTGATAACGGAATGACTTTCATTCTGGAACGAGTTCATTCCATCTCCATATATTTCTCTATTTCTCTGTATTTGTTTACATGATAGCGAAACGCCATTTCGTTCCCATACAAGCCACTCCGGAAATTCTCGTTCTGGTGAGAAATTTTATTATGGTATAATGTAAACTAAAAACTAAAATCGTTCCGGATTGAAAATCGCAAAACGTGTGGCCGATGTGGTGAATAGCGAATGAGTATCTATCGCCCCATATGAGGGGGTCCAAGACAGTTTTGGATTCTGGATTCCACGCAGTGGATTCCGAATACCAGTACCCCTTTCCAGTCTTTTTCAGTTAAAGTTGGATTCTGGATTTCAATCGTTAGAGGGATTCCGGATTCTTTGAGCTGTATTTCGGATCCCAAAGCCCAAGATTCCGGATGCCAAAAGCAAAATTTTCTGTGCTTCCAGTTCCACGGGCAAAAATTTCACGGATTCCGATATCTAATCTGACGCGAAAACCACGCGAGCGAGAACGCCTCAGGCCGGGCCGTTCGACTTTCATGTGAATCCAGTGCGAACTTCAGTTGTTTAGAGATAACACGTGGCTTCCACAAAAACTTTGTAGAGCGAGCAGTAAACATGGTTCCGTATATAGGTGGGATACTAAGTGAAAAATAGACTCTTGTAAACTTAAAACAAATAGCCATACTATTGAGAAAATTATAACAAAATTATTGTTCTTTGTTTTACAGAATTCAAACAAGCCATCTGCTCACATCGAAGCTGTAAGCAGAGGAGAACTGACCTATCAAGCCAACCAACGTATGTGCGTTCTTTGCCTTCCACTACACCGTTAACTCTCCACTTATCAGTAACCATCTGACACATCGTGCCTGCCAATGGTCTAATAACGTAGAATCAGATGTCATAAATTGTCTCTTGTATAAAAAAAGGCTTATTCTAATTTTTGCCAACGTATCATTCGCAAGACACGAACCTATAAATAGTACTAGTTTTGCTCATTTTGCATTCACGTACTGACTGAATTAAGCTTAAATTCTCGAAAAACGCTCTCACGGTGCTACAGGTTAAAAACGCCCCCATTTCGCCTTCAAAGAAGACAACTTAAACAGCTAATATGCAAATACTTCATTTAAACACAAAAATTATTAAAATTATAAATATCCTATACATCATCTCAAACAATTTCCGCCATTTTTCCATCACAAACATAAAACTTCTAAATAACGTTACTCTGAGTTCAAAACTACTCTCTGAAATAAATGTTCCAAACACGAACCCGTGGAACACACCGCGAAGATAAGGTAAATAAGAAACCAAAACGAAACAGCAGCATTTGCTGTCATAAAAGGACAGCAACAAACAGCAGCCTCCGCCGATGAACCACAGTCCGTCAACGAGACTTTTCTGGTTCGTTCTCATAAGAACTTTGCGCTGAGTGCGCTGATTGGCTAGTTTGTATTGCCTACTGTATTTCCCGGCTCTGTACTGATCTTCAGACGAGTTGTCCTATTCTTTTTAAATTGGATTATCATAGATTCCCTTTTTCAAAATTAAAGGAAATTAAATCACCCAGAATTAACATCCTTTTTCCTTTTCACCCTATAGTGATTAAAGACTGGAATGCCAATGACACGAACAGCCATCTTGCTGGAGGGATGAAGTACCATGATGGAAAACTGACTGTGCCTACCACTGGACGGTACTATATCTACCTGCAGATCTACTATCACAGCACTGGAAGGATCCAAGTGAGAGTGAACGGCCGTGTGCGAACAATGATTCAGATCCCTGTCCCAGATAAAGGTGTCCACGGTACCGCGTACGCAGGAGGGATTTTCAACCTGATTGCTGGTGACGTCATTACGATTTATTCAACCAGAAACAACTGCAAAATTTACATGTCGACCTTTCACACCTACTTTGGCGCGTATTTGATTGGAGAAAAGATGACAAATGCCCCAAACACCTCATGAATCAAAGGGATAAACCAGATTTAATAACAAATTCAACGTGTTTGAAAAGAGCCTTTCATTCAAAATCATCCTTGGTCATTAACATTGATTCAAAAACTTTTCTTAGCAATGTGGTGAAGTTTACGCCGCTGTTATTGAAACCTTATCAGTCTATAAGGTCTATTAGGTTTGTTTACTTAACTAGAATGCGCTGTTTTGTAGAAGACATTTGTAATGGATATCTTAAGGCTGAAAATAAATTAAAGAGTGGTGCTTATAATCTGTGTTGAGCATTGAGTAAAAGTACATCAACCTATTGTAAGTAAATTCATGCAATGTACCAATTAGAAGGCCTGGTTTTCATTTGTCGGGAAAATCGAAGACGATCAGAGATTTTACTGTTTCTCGAAAGTCCCAGATTTTGTCTGCTGTCTGGGATGGCCGGAAACAAATCAGGTAAATCGGGACGCGTCCCAGAATTTCTGCGCTAGCGCTGGTCGGCGCAAACATCACCGACATCAGACATCAAAAGTTTTAAAATTTGTGCTGTCGGGGACGTCGGGAAACGATGGGTCTAATGTATCAAGTCGTCTATCAGGGGCGGATCTAGGGGGAGGGTGGGGGGTGCACCCCCTCTGAGATGACCCGCGGTTTTCTCATACAACTGTTATTCTGCCAAAACTATGTGGTTTATTGGTGTTGAAGTAGAGCAAGAGACGAATGCACCCCCTCCTAAAAAAAATCCTGGAACCGCCCTTGTCTATGTTGGTGTGAACAACGGAATCATTACCATGATTCATTTACCTTCAATCACCTACATCTTCAGGTACCATGTACGCAGATGGAATGTTTAACCTCACAGCCGGTGACTTCATCTTACCTTTCAGGGGCACCCAACGTCAATTTTCGGAAAATTAAAATATCTGTGCGGAAGACGATTTGAGATCTAAAATTTTCGGAACATTTGTTGTAAAGTTTCTTCCTTGTCTGCCTCTCCTAGGATTTTCAAACATCTAAAAAATGGTACAATTGCCCATTTTTAACGGACTTTTACCCTGAAAAGGTCACCTAAAATTTTCAAGAGCCTTTTTTCTGGCAGAAATTTTTGAAAAGGTAAGTTTTGATCCCTATAATTTTCGGATCACTAGACTTTCAGCCAGGAAATCCGAACAGATGAAACATTTTTAGGGGATAAAAATATGCCTATATCTACCGTTTAAATATATACTAAAATAAGTTTAACAATGCTATGTTTATGTGATTTTGAACTATATTCTCGTTGGGTGCCCCTGACCTTTCTTTCACCGGTTTAGCTATCACAGCTACATTAGAGCGTAATTGATTTTGAAAGTCAAATAATTGTTGCGTCGCATTTTGATTGTGAAGTGCTAATAAATTGTACGGAATTAGCGCTATATAAATGCAGGAAATGTTACTGAGTATTGGGTCACAGCCTGTGTAGGATACTCCGTGTCATTAAGTGTCCAGCAGGCATTTCGCAAAATCCCTCTTGACCCCAGCAAGGTTATTCGTTGTAAAAGTTCCATGAAATATGGTATTCCCAACTGTCTTAGCCGCATTTTAAATCCTTTTGAAACTGTTCCTAGTCAAAAGTTAAAATTAGGATGACTTAAACTGAACAAGTTTCAAATTCGTTTGATTTCCTATTTCAAGGCACAGTAATTATCGGTCTTCTCTCTTAAATTCTTGCTAATTATTCTGGTGTCGGATGGGCAGGCAACATCAACTATAATGCACGATTTATGTTCCTTATTTAGGAGCACAATATCGGGCTTGTTGTGTTCAATATAATGGTCTAATTGGATCTTAAAATCCCACGACAGTTTGTACTTCTCAGTATGACAGACTGGATCCGGTTTGTGGTGATACCAGTTTGCGGTAGTGTCCTTTCAAAGCCACATTTCTCGCTGAGAATTATTGATTTTTATTATCAACGAAATGCCGTTTAGCTCTGGTGAATGTTGTACCGACATTACACCAAGCGGGGAGCGAGCCATAGCCAATGTTAAAAGGTCCTTTGGGTTAGTTCTCCTCCTTTAACTTTCCAGTACCTTCCTCAAAATCCTTGCTGTTCCCAACAAAGCCTTTTTCTGCAGGAAACCCGTATTAATGGTAATCCCCAGCTTGTCAAGCCATGTATCCAATCTTTTGCTTACTGCACCGAGTGCACCAACCACTACCGGTACCACTTCCACACGTCTAATACCCCATGGATTTTCTCGTCTCCCTCTTCAAATCTTGGTATTTCTCAACCTTTTCACTCTCCTTTTCATAGACTCTGTGATCCCATGGTGAAGCAATATCCACAATAATTGCCTTGTTACTCTCTTTCTCAACAACAACAATGACAGGTCTTCTGGCCTCAATAATATGATCACACTGGATGGTCATGTCCCATAATACCTTACATGTACATCTTTCATTTTCCTCTATCCCATCCGGTTAGTGGTCATACCACTTTTAACTTCTGTTCAAGCCATACTTACAGCCAGTGGGCCAGCTAGCCTGGCAACGTTGTCATGTCTTCTCTTGTACTCTTTGAGCGCCAAACACTTGCACTCACCATAGTTAATTGAGTGGAATGGTTATGAAACCCATCAGACTCCTTTGTTATATGTTTTTGTAGACCTGAAAACGCACAACGTTCAAAAGAATTCCTATCATTTTGATTGTATTGACCAATAAAAACGTTGCATTAATTTATTCCGTAACAATTTGCCAACAGAAAACAAAGGATTGTGCACTTTCAGGGTGTTTCCAACATAAACTGCAGCACTGTTGTTTTTATCATTGATGCTTGCCGCTTTTCATAACCAGTCTCCTCTAATAACTATGCACTCACCAATTATGTAGCGGCTGGGTTCCCTGTTTCGTTTGTTTTCCCGCCTTTAGAGGTCATGTGACTTTGCTTTTAGTTGCCCCTTGATACGTTTAAGCGAGTGTTTGCAGCTTGGGCATTCACTGGAAGTAACGACCAAAATTGATCGGTTTCGACGCATTGACGACTGTATTGTTTGGAACATTGTCTTCGTGTATTGTCACGATTCATGATTGTAGCCGTCCTTGCAGTATTGGAAATAAAGGTCCGTAAACAAGAGTGAATTTCGTCGCTACAGTTACTTCGAACGCCGAGCTGCATTCAGATGATTTGTTTTGGCCTACGAGCACCGTTCTCAAACTATTTGTCCTATCTTATTGTGAATATTGGTATTTTGAGTCCTGGTGATAATATTTGGCGTGCAACACTGGCCGTGAGTACTTTGTATGTTTGTATACAAGGGTTTTTGATCCCTTGTTGTTTTGTGATGTCGGTTTGGGATCTTTCGAGCGATGATGGCCGAGATACGGCACTCGATCTCACAAAAACTCCGGATTTGACACTTTGTGAACCTCAAGCCTTCTCTACCGCAATGGAAAACGAAAACAAAGAGTCTGGTTACGCTACAAAGCCGAACGAAATGACAAACTCGCCGCCTCTGGGCGAAAACGCATGTGTTTCAGAGGAAATGAGGAATGGACAAGGGAACGCGGAATTGGATCAGACCGTTATCGATAAGAGACCTCGGAAACTAACTGAAAAGGGCAAAGGCTATCGCCTCGTGCAAAGGAAAGGAGAAAGAAATAAACTTAAACGAAAAATACAATCTCAGATTGCTAACATCAGCACGCTGTTGGGCCATGATAAGAACCTTGAGTTAATTAGTGATTTGTCTATTAAACTAAATGATCTGTTTGAGCAGTTTGGTGATCTACACGAAGAAATACAAGAACTTCTTACAAAGGAGGAACAAATTACGGACTCTGAGAATTATGATGACTTGTACCAAGAAATTAGACTCATTCGTGAAACAGTACACAAGTGGATGATCGATGCCAATCAGCGGATTAGAGATGAGAGAATTGAAAGGGGTTCTGCCAAGAGCATCAAATCAAAGGGCTCTAGGTCCTCGAAGTTGTCAACCACATCCTCAAGGGCGAAGGCTCTCGAAGCCAAGGCAAGGCAGGCTGAGTTAGAGGCAAGGATCGCGCAACTTGATCAAGTCGAGGCTGCGAAGAAGGAAGCAGAAAGAGCAAAACTAATGGCCGAACGTGCAGCTGTGGCCGCTGTCAACAAAGTGTATAAAGACGCTATGAAGGAGGATGACGAACAATATTTGGGCTCGGATGATCCTGACATCAATGATACAGCTGCCGACGATCAGCCTAAACCAAAGAAGTCTTCGCAGACCACTGAGCCTATACAAACCATAGATGAATCCAGAAATTTGAGGAAAACTGAAGCAGAAATTAAGCATTTCAATGATCCTGTCGAGAATCAGCTGGAATCTATAAGCGCTTTAGACCCTAAAATTACGCGTGATTTTTACGCGCGCTCGCGTTTCGCTCGCTCTACTATCCGTGAGGAAAAATGGGGGACTACTCGTAGTTTACTTTGCATGTGAAAAGATCACCACTGCTATGGTACAATATAACAACTCACACCTTTTACATAAAAAAAATTATTCATTTAATAAGTGAAATGGTTAAGTATTTCAGTGGTATAAAATAAATGGAACATATTGCATGGCCGCTCGGAGATATGAAATTTCTCTTCTCATGTTGAAACAATATTTCACTGCTTCCAGCAAGGCTTACCCTTCCTCCTCTGTTGGATTGCTATTAATCATGCCTTTGTTGAGAAAAGCATGAACAAAATTCTTATAACAAGTTAGAGTTAATTTGCGTTTTTCATGTAAAATCATGCATGCCCAACCCTATTCTGAGGCCTTCCAAGGGGGGTAGCTGTGTCGCAATGTCGCTTGCTTTAGGAGACCGTTGTCGCCTAATCTACAGCTGCAAATGTCGCTGTCGTTTTTTGAAGTGTACGTAACTGTACCAGTCATTTTTGTTTTGCGAGAAACTGTTTCGCAACAGGGCTATAACAGGATTTTCATGGTGGTCAGTTGGCAAAACTTTGTGAGCGGCGAAGGATGAACGCTTCTTCTTCTTCTTTAAGGGTAGGCTCCCGCGGGAAAATTTGGAAAATCTGAACCCTCAGAAATGCAATTTCCTGTATTCTGAGTCACTTTTACTGATAAAATGCACAACTTTCCAATGTCACCGTCGTTTTTCACTGTTTAGTATGTCGCTGTCGCATTTTAGCAGCGTAGGCATGTCACTTCTCGCTTTTTAAAAATTCCCATGTCGCCAGTTTTCAGGGCCGTGTCGCATGTCGCTTTTACCCCTTGGAAGGCCTCTATTCTGCACCCTACAGGAAATATGTTGGATATATGCACGCAGTTTCAATATGTAAAGGGTGTGGGGAAACAGTGATAGATTTAGTACAGGGTATTTTTCAAAAGGGTAGCACCTGGCTATGAGCCAGGGCACAAATAAATTACAAATACTCAATCATTGTTCCAAAGACTTTCAATGCAGGATTGTAGCTTTTATGCTGAATATTAGATAGTGGTATTACATCTTAAGAAGGGACAGTAAATTCCTTTTAGCTTGTGTTTTGCTTCCCCCCAGTGTGAATAAAGAGGTGTTCTCACAACAATTTACCCATCATAACCTTAAAATTTATATAGGTCTTGTGTCCAAAAATTATTGATGTGACTTATACACAATTTTAAAGAAAGCATTCTTTGGAGCACTATCACACGGCTAGGCTTGATTTCCATGCCCTAAATGTTGTCACACATGACCTACATTGGGGAAACATAGCATCTGCGGTAACAACGACAAGCTAGTAAAGGTCTTTACTATTACTTCTCCTCTCATAACTGTACTTAACAAAAAATTTTCTTTGGCATTGTATCATGCACTGTATTTTATTAGCTTTATAGCCACTGCACTGCTTTCATCCCATTCTCAATGCCCTTGTCAAAGACAACTTTGAAGAAGAGGAAGAGTGAGCACAAATATTCAGTACAGGGGGCCAGAGGAAAAGACAAAAAAACCATGTAACATTGATGTAAAAATTGCAAAAATAATTATGTTCCAACTAACCAATCACTTCCTGCTATCCTACTATTTAAAAGCTTTCCCAATATTTCCCCACCCAAATGAAGCCAGTAACAGTGTCCATTGAAAGAAAAAAAGGGTAGCAATAAAAGCGAATAAAGAAGGGAAAGCGAAATTTGTGACTGCATGCCCCAACTTTTGAAAATAATATTTTCAATTTGCATCTGTAACTGAACGCTGTGAACTACACGGCCTTTAAACAGTCTTCTGGTAAGATTTAGCTCATAAGCCAGACAGTGACTAGAAAACGAAGCCACTAGCTTCAAAACAAGTTTCTCAGCAAAATTCTCAGGAGAGGAATGGGATAAAAAACAAAACAAAAACAACAAAAGAACGACGAGCTGAACTAAAAGGATAACTATTACAAAGGAGACTCAGGAATGAAAAAAGGTTTATCAGACTGCTTTGAAGGAGCTGCTCTCACTTGTCGGTTTTCATCAGCCAGCTGTAGGAACTCCCACACCTGGAGCTAACTGATGCCTGGCCTTTCCAAAGCTTCCAGCAAGGCCCGTCCCTTCGCCCTTCTTTCACCTGTCACCATCTGTGCCTTCTTCAGGAATAGCCGCCTTCTGCAAATAAGACCTGACTTGTTATCTTTATTGTCAGAATTGAGAGGCGGGATAACAGCTTTAGTAGGTACAGGGGAGATTTCTGATCGTTTTTTGAGATATCCTCCTTGTTCCTAATGTCATTGGGGGAACCAGACCTGATAGGTTTCTTCACTTCCTCATCTCTCTTTACCTATGAAAGATTGCAAGAAAAAGGTATGACAGAGAAAACAAAATTAAATAAGGTGGCTTGACTGGATTTTTTAGGGGGGATACCTTCCAAGTTTAAGCATTAACTACATCAGCATGACTAAAGATATGGGAAAAGGCTACCACAACATTACTGTATTATATAAACATGAAAATTTCTTATTATCTAGGTTTTATTGCAAATGGAGTCGCCATGGCAACCTAATGAAACCAATATGTTTTTTTAAATTTATTTTTGTGTTTCTCTGTACCAGGAGAGTTTTTTAGAAATGGCTTAAGGGAGTATGTACCTGCCATAATTGCTTCAATTATGGCAAACTTTGAACAAATTCTGTGATAGCATTTTGGAAATATTTTGAAACAAGTTTTTAGAATCATAAAAACAGTGAAATAGCATGCTATATATCCACACAATTAGCTAATATGTTAAGATAATGTTAACCTTTTGAAGCACAGTTTCATCTCATAATGATTTGATTCCATTGAAAACTGGGTACAAAAAAAAAAGAGGGGAATTGCTCTGGGTGATCGCGAGTGAGGAGAATTTTATTAACCTGCATTCAGCTGCTTTTGTTACAGTTTTTGCACATAATTTGGTCCATGCCTACAAATTTCACATTATTCAAA